CGGCCGGTTTTCACCAAAAGCCGGCCGGTTTTTGGTTGCGAGAATTTTCTTTGATTTAGTCTTGACGAAAGCCGGGCGGTTCTCAGTGGAAGCCGGCTGGCATTCGTTGCCGTAGTATTATCCCAATTAAATCAAGACGAAAGTCGGGCGGCTTTCGTCAAAGCCGGGCGGTTTTCACCCAGGGCGAGGATTCTCTTCCCCTTTTTCCCTTCAAACCCGACTAGACTTGTCGGGGTTTTAATTTTACAAGTTCCACACTCCTATTGTTTACGAAAATTAATACGTGAGTTTAAGGAATTACCCGCAACGGAGTCCGGGTTGGCACGTGCATCCGCCTCCGTCATAGCATAAACTCTAGCTTGAGTTCTTCCTTGATTCACGGACGGCGCATTGCTCGTGCTAGCTCCCCCTGGCCCACGCTAGCATGAGATGCTCCGGCCCGGTTCCTACTTGCCGTGGTAGCGCCGCTTGGTCCTGACCCCCGGTTCCCAGCCATAAGGATCTCCAAATACATCAAAGGTAGCGTGTCAATTATCATCCACGCTCGGACCCACCCGGTGCACGGCCCAACGGGTTCCTTCTAGTGATCTTTCCAATTGGTTCCATTTCTGAAAGAAATTAGAATGAGTCGTTAGACTCGTATCGAGTGTCAAATGACGGACGGGTACTTAAAGACATCCTTTGGCTCAAATCACCGTCATACCAATGGTTAAGGGTACCATCTTAACAATTAGAGGCATTGCAACTCAAGTACCAAAAGTTCTATAAGTACAAAACCTTATGCTCATGGTTTTCAAATTCATTTTCAAAAAGAAATTTTGAAGCTTCATTATGATGTTTACGGACTAAGGCTCTGATACCAATTAAATTGTCACGCCCCGGACCTAGCCGGACACGTCAACAACCCGCCGCACAGTACGAATAGTCAACCGCAGTCCAACTCATCCATACTATACAAGGCGTCATGAATATCATTCACACATAGTACATCCATAAACAAACATAATGTAAATCATTCATTTAAAACAGCGGAAACAACATTACAAGTGTACAAGCCACACTTGGCAAACATGGGTATACAAACCCCCGAAATGTATATTCAGAAAATAATATCCATGAGCATTATTCATATTGTTTTCAAAACAAGAACGGAAGAAGCACGAACCAAGTCTTCTTCTCAGAAACTTCCCGAAACAGCGGCTGATAGTAGCAACCTTCAAATTCTACCTGAAACTGTGAGGTGGCCTCCCCCGTGAAGGGGAGGTCAGTACTTGGAAGCATTTGACAAGTACAATGACAACTATACTAAGTATAATCGAAGTTTAAATCTCTGAGGCCCTCAATCTAGAGCATTAATACATTATAGTTAATCCGTTCATTTAGTATCAATTCATCATTATTTACTACGGTCTAGAGCCCAGCTCATAATCACCGTTATCTACTACGGTCTAGAGCCCCGCTCATAATCACCGTCATCTACCACGGTCTAGAGCCCAGCTCATAATCACTGTCATCTACTACGGTCTAGAGCCCAGCTCATAATCACCGTTATCTACATCGGTCCCGAGCCCGGCTCATAATCACCGATTCTTTATAATTCTCATTCTTAGGATCTAATTCATCCATTTCTCAACTAACATTTCCAACTAATATTTCAATGCTAGTTATTTACTTATTTCAATATAATTCTTCCTTCATGCATGATTGGCCTAAATATCAAGTATCACTTTCATACCTTCATGGCTTCTCCTCATGGTATCAAAGTATAGTATCTCAAATGAAATCCATGGTTGGTACAACCATCATACACACATATTCATAACATCTAAACATACACAATTTATTCATAAATTTGTGTATCATGCATACTATACTTATAATCAATAGTAGTTTTATCTAGGCATTATTAACCATTAACAACCTGTGCACATCACATTTGTATTCACTTAGGAAATCCCATGAGATTAACCCAAAGATTATAAGCAACATAGTCGGTCATCCTCACCTTAATTAAGCTTAAGCACGTTCTACGCTTCTCGATTGAACCTTGACTAATTTCGGCGAACTTTGACCAACTCCGGCGAACTTTGACCAACTCCGACGAAACTCCGGCGAAGCTCAAAAATACTTTAAATCAAGTTCCTAACAAGGTTTTATCATCACAAAATCCATATCAACACAAATAACCTATAAAAGGTTATTTTTCGGCAAACCGGTCGATTTGGCTTCTAAGTCCGTTTTGGACTTAGAATCACTTTCCAACCCATTATTCCACACTTAATCATGTAGAACAATACTAAAGGTCTTTCATATGATATATATCTTATATACTAGAAGAAAAACAAAGGAAAGGTTATGATAAGGTCATTACCTTAATTTTCACACTTTTTCCTAGCTTTTTCCTTCTTTAACTTCCTCCCAACTTTCTTGTTTGAGCTCTGCTCGAATTTTGCTATGAAAGATGAAGTTGTAGAGGTTCTTTCCTCCTTTCCCTTGATGCTGTCCGAACTAGTGAGGAGGGGGATGGGTAGGAATGCCCCTTTGTCTCTATTTGGGAAATGAGTGAAAGAGAGGAGGGCCACCATGATTTGTTTTGATGCCAAACATCTCAAATCAGTCCTCTCCCACCTCACCTCTCCTACCAGCCGACTCAAGCCTTGAATAATGTGGCTAAATTCGTGGGTTGGCCCCCACCCATGTGGGAGGTCAACCCTTTTTGTCCAGAAGTGTACAATCGGTCCCGAAAGTTGTATTTTCCGGACTGTTTTAAGTATATTTTAATTTATCGGGTCAAATAAAATATAACACTTGTTCCCAATCCTTATGGGACCCTAGAATCAATATGCATTCCCCAACCTTAATTTAGAAGTCTCCGAAATCCCTTTTTGGGCTGTTTTCTGATAAATTTGCCGATACCGATAATTTGGCCTTGTTTGACCAACCGGTCAACCCTGTGCCATTGCTATGGACCAATTAGGATATCCACCACCATATACATATTTTCTAGGCCCAGATGAATCTAATATGTGGTCCCGATAATATCGGGCGGTCCCCACTCCCGATGCGGCCCCACGTGCATTTTACTATTCACGCGAAAAAATTAATACGAATTCACAACCTCGTAAATTCACTAAAAATTTCATAGGGTTCAATAAATTATTCGCTTAAAGATAAATACATTTGGGGACGGTGTTACACATAGCATCAAGAATTTGCATATTTTCTCTTCATCCATATTTTTGTAAAACATCAGTAATATTTATTTTTCCGTCTTACTTTTTTATGTCAAAGAAGTTACTAGACTACTTATACATTGGAGGATTAAAAGGGGTGTTAAAAGTGGACAAGAGGATTAAAAAGGGTGTTAAAATTGGAAAAGAGGGTGAATGATTTCAAATGCCAAGAAACATCAAATTTTAATCCATAGTGTTTCCATAAATAACCGAACTTTACATGAATTCATTTTTATTTGTATAAGAATTAAAAGAAGTAAAAAGATTTAATGATTTATTTTTATTTTTTAACATCAAAATGCGTATGTTTTACAACAAAATGTGTATTTTTATTCAAAAAACATACTTATAATAATTCAATTAATGTTTTAACCAACCGATATGTAACATAATATGTTGAGTATATTTTATTGATGATGTTGGACTGCAGAAAAAAAATGTTGGTGGAGTCTAAACATTACTTTCATATTGACGGGACCCATATTTAAGTTTTTAGATGCCACGTGGATGCAAATACTCCTATACGTGGTACCCACTTCGAATGTAAATATATGAAAATTTTGGCTTCACCCGAAATGAAATATCTGGTTGACATACATTTCTTATTCGATTATCATATCCTTTTAAGACATAATTCCATATTTATAACTAAAATAAAAGTCGTGACACGTACCTTGTGATTTAATAGAGACACAACTGATCTCCCAAATAAGAGGTCACATGTTTGAGTTTGATTCTAATCAAATAATGTTGGCATTAAAATGAGCATTTGATTTAATTTGCTTTGTTCAGTTTCTACGTTTTACTATTTTACTCTGGGAGAAAATGGTCAAAAAGGTAGATGGAGTTGTTTTAAGCGGAGTAAGTAGTACTCAATCTTACACTTGAAACTACAAAGTACATAAACCATCACTTTCAAAGTCGATTAAGTGCATTTGCTATATTAGAACTATAAAATATCTGACCTGACAAAACTATCAATTTGTAATATACCGTTGCAGTCCAAGCCATCAAATAATTAATCTATAAACTCTAATTTTCTTCAATCCACTCGTTTCCACATTCGCTATTCATATTACATTTTCTCTCGTCTGCTCTCCTTTCTCTCCGCTCTTCATCTTATATTTCTCTCGTCTGCTCTCCAAGGACAGAGCCAAGGCACTGAGTCGGACTGAACCAGTACAAAGAATATTTTTGGGAAAAAGTTTAAACAAATTTTTAACTTTAATTTAAAGTTAAAACATTTTTTTAATTTGGAGTGGACCAGAGTCTAGATTGCCCCCTTTGCTCTGCCCAGCTGCTCTCCTCTCTCGTCTGCCTTCCTTGTTATCCCGCCATGTTCTTCTTTTATTTGCTATCAGTTCATCTTTATTATAGCAAGTGAAGAAGAAGAAACTAAAACAGAGCAAAGGGAAGAAGTCGTCGAGAAGGAGAGTGGAAAGAAGGGAAAACATATGAGAACAATATAATATGAAGAATGAAAGTGAAAACGAATGGAAATAAATGACTTGTTCTGGAACTGTATAATACAAGCAATCGTTTGGCAAGATCATCTATTTTTCTAGTTTATGTACTTTAATATTTCATAACCTCAATATTCCCTATGTCACGAAAAGGTTGTTTAAAGTTGACTTTCAAATAGATTAATAAAGTAAAAATTGTGTGATTGAAATTTGTGCAGAAAAGGAAGAATTAATTTTAGCCACATATTCCTTTCTTTAAATGAAAATAATAAATCTTTTTTAGAAATCCAAAAAAGGAAATTTTGCAAAAAAGAAGGGAGTAATAGTTGATGAAACTTGAAAGTTGAAACAACTTCAGCTGTCATTTTAACCATTTTCTCTTTTACCGGGTTTCTTCTATCCTTGTCTCTTTGATTTATCATCCACCCAAGTTACTAGCAAGCGCCGCCATGACCGATGAGGAAGCTCTCTGCGAGGCAGCTCGAAAGGGAGACTTGGACAAAGTGAAATCATTAATAGTGTCCGGAGTGGACGTCTCATATTTCGACTGTAACGGCCTAAATCCACTAATGCACGCCGCCAGGCACGGCCACGCACAGGTGGTGACGTATCTCCTTGACGCCGGCGCTCCGTGGAATGCCCTTTCTCCTTCCAATCTATCTGCCGGAGACTATGCGATGGATGCTGGCCACCAAGAAGCCTTCGACGCCCTCCTCAATGCAGGTTAGAACTTCACATAACTTAGAATTTTCATTCTTACACTGTAATCCAAACTTAAATTAATGTGTCATATGTAAAACTACAACTCCCAAAAGTGAAATTTGTAAAGTTGAGATTGTTTACATGTGTTATCTGGCTTGAACACCCTTTAAGTTTATTTTGGGAATTTAAGCTCTAATGAAGTTGCTGATTCATAAGTCCCAGTTGAGGTGAGCAAATTGTATCATCTCTATAAGCAATTGTATCACCCTGTAGTACATCAGTATATAATTTTGCTTCCGGGTATTTTTGTAATTTTCTTCAACATTTCCATAATTCCATCAAAATTATAATTTTGTCCCGCTCATATTTCGTTCATTACAATATCATTCGAATATAAAAGATGCTCATTTCATATTTGATAACAATTCTTTTTGTTATAAAGAAATGCTTATTTCATCATTTGTATATACCATGAGTTTGATACATCGTGTTCCCTGTACTGCTATTGTTAGTTATATGATTTATGTGTATACTCGAGAGTTTATCACTGGGAGAAATTCTTTAACCTTTCTGGGCTGTATGCATAGCATTACAAGCAGAAATGGTGCTTGGAACAATTGCTAGAAGAAATAAGAACCAGGACTCTGCTGCTGATTATTTGGAAGACAGGGTTAGTTTCAGTGAGGATAAGATTATGGATGCTGAAAGCAAAGCAGTTATGATGGCTTGGGAAAAGCCTTTGATGGAAGCTCATGCAAAGGCAGTTTGCTCAAATGGCGGTCACATTTTGAACATTGGGTTTGGAATGGGGCTCGTGGATGCTGCAATCCAGCAGTATGCACCTTCTTCACATACTATCATCGAAGCTCACCCCGAGGTTTATGATCGTATGATACACCAAGGGTGGGGCAAGAAGGAAAATGTGAAGATCATTTTTGGTCGTTGGCAGAATGTTGTTTCAAAACTTGAATCTTACGATGGTAACTCCTCCACCGTGCGTTCGATGAGATTGTACAAATTTCATTAAATAAGTATTTCCTTTTTTGTTGAACTAATCAGGTATATTCTTTGACACTTATGGAGAGTATTATGAAGATATGAGGGAGTTTCACCAATATCTTCCTAAATTGTTAAAACCTGCTGGCATCTACTCATTTTTCAATGGACTCTGTGGAGGTAATGCTTTCTTCCACGTTGTTTACTGCCAGTTAGTTTCTCTGGAACTTGTCAGCATGGGTTATACTACTCAGTTCATACCACTACCAGTGAAAGATTGCTTAGGTGAAGAAGTCTGGGAAGGAGTTAAACACAAATATTGGCAGTTGGATACATATAGTCTCCCTGTTTGTTATTCTGTCGATGAATCTGATTGAATTTGTTTATAGGGGATTTTCTGAACCCCACACATGCCGGGAGTATTCAATTCCAAGTTACTCAGTGTTCTTTCAATACTGTAATACTAAGGTTCAAGCAAAAATCACTTGTTGTAAACGTTGCAGCAGGAGACAGTGAGACACGTGTCTTATGATTGTCATTATCAAATTATATTATCAAGATTCATTATTAATAGATGTCATTCTTTTTATAGAAGAATTTTCAAAACTATTACCAGATTTTTTCGAAATGTGCACAACTCTGCTGGAATATTGCACCGCGTAAACATGAGTCGTTGAAGCTTTAGTTTAAGTACGAAGTATTTGTAGAAATTGCTATATTGTTGTTTTAGGTATTCCTAATGAAGAGCACACTCTCCATGTGAAATCACATCATAAGCTACAAGTTCTTTGATACAAAGCTTTTTAAGTAAAAACAATAAATTGTAAGAACTTTTAGCATCTAGCATACAATCAACACAGAAACTTTTGTACAGAAGCTTCTTGACGATACAAGTCAAGTCTGGTTGCACAAGAACTAAACAGTGAACTATTGCATATTACCCACCCTAACTCAGAAAAGGAGTCTCGTATATAATACTGAATTTCAGTTTTACAATCAAGACTCTTTTCCTGTGTGGTACTATTATGATATTATCAATTATCAATTATCAATTATTATGGACATATATCTTCCATGACAATATAGGTTCAGTAGAATCATCATGTCCAGCTAAAAGCAATTGGGCTATGGACATTATGTTTTCCATCTAACCATTCAAGATGAGCAAAGCCAGTTGTGCCTGATGGCATTGAACTGGCTATAAATATCACGGTGTAGTTCTTCTTCTCGTCCAGTCTACTAAAACTCAAAGTTTGTGGTTCAACTAATATCTTTACAGACTTCGTCAGAGTAGAGACTGAGGCCTTGTAAGTAGCTGGGTTGCCCACATTTGTGAGTGTCCTAGTGTACTTGACCACTGCATTTTTAGCACTACCTTTACCCCAAGCCGTTTCGAGAGGAACGGCAAAGGACGGATAATTAAGATCAGTTACTCTGTGCTCTTTATTTGTACCACATGACACGTCTTTCTTTGTGACGGTCTTGATCATACTTGCGGTATATCCTATGGCACAAAGGAAGTTTGTATAATCGTCAACCGTTATATCGTAAATGAGACCCGGATCAAGTGCGGATAGCGGGTTTACATGCCCAGCACCATGATCAAATGGAGTTGATTCCATTCCGGTTGCCGCATCCTCAATGGATTTCCCATTCTGGTATGTTCTATAAGCTGTAGTCAAAAGTGCTGATCTTATAGCTGCTGGGGTCCATTCTGGATGAGCCGCTTTGAGTAGTGCAGCCAGTCCGCTGACATGCGGGCATGACATGGAAGTCCCAGAGATGATATTGAAGTTGACACGCCTTTTGTCTTGAGGTAACCCGGTCGGTCCGACTCTGCCAGTCCAACTAGCGAGGATGTTAACTCCGGGTGCTATGAAATCTGGTTTGAGTATTTCAGGTGTGATTGAGTTTGGCCCTCTCGAACTGAATGCTGCCACAACCGGTGATGGTTGGACTTCCAATTTAGTTTCTCCAAACCCGATCGTGGCTGTCGGGTTACGGGTGGAAGATATGTAGCTCTTTATCGCGTCACCCGCGGTCTCACCCACAGCTGCTGTAGGGATGACATGTGCATCTGCGATCCGATCATCTTCTGTAAGGTCAGTGTTTGCTAGAATCATGCCTATACCACCTGCATCTTTTACAACTAAACCCTTTTCTGCTCTTTTATTTTCACCTCTGTCACACACCACTATCTTCCCAGCTACCTTTTCGCGAATTAGACTGCTGGTTGTGCACAGTCCTCCTCCATCAGATGATATACCATCGCCGCCAGCATATACTAGAGGTATTTGGGAAGCGGGTAACGGGTTCCCTCCGTAAAGCGATACACCTTTAAATTTCTTCCCATTTCCAAGGCTGATATAGGTTGGGAAGTCACGGTCTATCGTACCCGCACCCACAGTTGTTATCCATGGTGCCGTATTGGATAGGCTGTTTGAGTATGGCCCGCCATTTCCCGCCGAGCAGGAGACAAAAATTCCCCTGCTCGTTGCTGCAAATGCTCCGACTGCTATAGGGTCATTATAGTATTCTGTAAGTGAAGCACCCAATGACATTGATAGTACGTTCACCCCATCTTCTATGGCTTTCTCAATTGCGGCTAATATGTCACTACTCAAGCACCCTCCCACCCAACATGCTTTGTATACTGCAACCCTTGCTTTTGAGGCCATCCCACGTGCCACGCCTGATCCAAAACCGAAGAAGCTCGCTCCGGTGACCGTTGATCCAGCTGCTGTGGACACTGTGTGCGTGCCATGACCGTCGTCATCCCTGGGTGACTTGGATTCGATGGTCTCGTCAATTGGCCCGTTCGCAGCTTCGTACCCACTTGAGAAAAACCTGGCGCCTATGAGTTTCCGGTTACAGTTTGATGGCTTGAAGTTTGTGCCCGCCTCGCACTCCCCTTTCCAGCTTCCGGGAATCGGACCAAACCCAGTGTCATCAAAACTCTTTGATTCCGGCCAAACACCAGTGTCTATAACACCAACTATAACTTCACTCTGTATGCTGTTGTTACTATTACGAGAAATGAACTGTCTGCTTTCGAGGTGGCCATCAAGTCCGAGAAATAGGGGTGACCGGGTTGTGTGAAGCTCATATTTCACCTCTTCCTGGACCGAGATGACTGCTGTCTGCCGCTCAAGCGTTCTTGCTTCGTCGGCAGTTAGCCGTGCAGCGAAGCCATGAATGGTATTGCTATAGGAGTATAGCATCTTGCCAGTGTCTGAAACCGACTTTAAGGAGGAACCATACCAGTGGTGATGATCATCAAAGCCAGAGGGCATGTTGGATCTGTCCATGTGAATGATGTAAGTCTTCTGCTGCTTTTGTACATCTACTCCTTCCACATGCCTAGGAAGGAATAACATCAGGAGTGTTAATGCGGGAAGAAGCATAAACTTCAAATTTTGGATATTCATCTTCTTATGTGTGGGTTGGAACAGACCAGAAGGAAACAGTTTTGGGATTTGAATGGGAGAATATGGACCCAATAAAAGAGGAGGAAGTGGCAACTGCTGAGAGATTGTATTTTTTATTTGGAGAAGAGGTATCTTATATATATATATATCGAGTATGCGAAAGTCGACTGTACCATGTTGTCACTACGAGAATCCAATAATGATGTTTATCGTAATACACCTCTATTATTTATTTATTTACTTTTTTTTGTCTTTATTGTATCCAATAATATACTCCGTATTCACACTAACATCAATTATTACTTATTTATTTACGTGCTTGTTTGTTTATTACGGAGTAGTTCCTTTAAAATAAAATAAGTAGTAGAAAGAATGAAATACGGATTAAATATCACCTTACAGTTTTGTTACTTTGTAAACGTTTGGTACACTTAAATTACTACGTTCTGGTTAGTATACTATGAATGTTTTCAATTAGACTGAAATTTGATGTTATGATCTGGTCTGGTCTAATAAATACCTGGTCTCTGCGTATTTATAATTATCGAATTCAGTCTGGTCTGATCTGGTCTGAGATAGAAATGTGATCTGGGATATAAAACTTCTTCGTTATATGTGTTACGCGACACTTTTTAAAAATTCTTTTAAAAATTAGAGAGTTTTAAAAGGAATACTTGGTGTACTCCTAATTAATTAGTTACATACACTCAGAACATCTCCAATATAACAATATGCACGGTGCAAATGTGACATGAGAAAGATAGAGACATAAAAATAAATCATTAACATTTCTTTCTTCTTCTTTCTACGATTTTATATAATTTTGGTAATAATATCAATTATAATGTCTACATCTATACTCTCACTCTCTGTAGTTGTATACTTTTTTTACAAGACAGTTGTATATTAACAACATTAGCATCCCAACCAAAGTTAAAAAAAGTATATAGAGGAAGACAAACAATAAAATATTTGAAACTCACAAAAATGTAATACTTGATTAAGTTATTAATGTATATGCATATAAATACAAACCTAAAACAACAGTTAAAAATGTGGAAGATTTTTGTATTAAAGGCAGCTCTTAAATTAGTGGCCCTTATATTTGGGACAATGAGTATCACATACATAGTATCCCGTATATTTTATTGCCATTAATCCATGATAGTCCATCGATGCTTCATGTCAAAAAGTTTTTTAGTCAAATAAAAAAGATTTGAAATAAATTTGAGGGTCCCATTTGCTCTTGTACAAAAAATTGATATCCAGTTGATCAAGTAAAATGAGGCTGCTGGGTCTAATTGTCTAAACCGCTGAAATCTTGGTGCCAATTTTCAAAAGAATAGCGATTCCTTGCATTAATCTAATCTAATCTAGTCTAATATATTTAACTTCGGTTTGGTGTGGATTGATCTGGTTTGTTATGATAAATGTTTGTTCTATGTGTATTTTACCATGATCAAAACTAATTTGGTGTAGACCAACCTGATTTATTTAAGTCTGATCCAGTTTCGAACTAAAACAATCCAATTAAAAACATACTAAGTAAAAAAAGAGTCTTAACTCAAGTTAGATTAACCAATGCTAGTTTTGAGTCTAATTTATATTCCTAAATTCTGGATTTGCATATAGGTTGGCCTGATTTTGGGTAGGTCGAATTTAGAATTAGCATTTACTCCCTCCGTCCTAAAATTAACTTCCACCTTTCCTTTTTGAAATGTCTCACAATTAACTTCCTACTTCATTTTATTTTTACTTTTGGTAAGTTTGGTAAGAGTGCTCTAGGACACTCTTAGAAAATCAACTTTCATTTTTTTCTACCCAAATACCCATGAAGTCAAATCGGGAAGTTAATTTCGGGATGGAGAGAGTAAAACAAAAAGAGAATTGAGATTGGGACAAACCCATCCAGGCCATGAGTACACTAATAAAGTAATAAGAATCGAACCGCCCCTACATAATCTTATGTTCTTTCAAGTTTCAAGCATAATGAACTTCGACACTAAGCTATACTCAATTTTTTACTTTTCATATGTGAATTTTCATATTTAGATTTTTTTATCATCATTTTTCATGTTTAGATTTAAATAATTCCAGATGACTTAATTACTCAAAATTATAACGCTTCATATTA